AGCTAACATCTGTTGCCAATCCTCCTCCTTTTTTTCCCCCAAAGCCCCAGTAGATAGTTGTATGTCATAGTTGCACATCCTTCTAGTTGCTGTGTGTGGGACGCGGCCTCAGCATGGCCAGAGAAGCGGTGCGTCGGTGCACGCCTGGATCCGAACCCGGGCCGCCAGTAGCAGAGCGCGTGCACTTAACCGCTAAGCCACGGGGCTGGCCCCAGCATACATAATATTCTGTTCTTAATATTAATGCTTCTGGTTAATGTAAATAGCTACTTGACCAAAAGAGAACTACGTTGAGAAAAGGAAATGCTATGGGACTTAGTAATCTATAATTAATTGTACCTATCTTTATGATTGTTAATGTATATCCTACATATAGTTTTATAAAATTATATTATTTATGTAAGTTAACACATTTAACAGAATTTTAATACCTAATTTTCTTTTGAATTTGCATTCCTCCCAACTTGTTATAGAAGTTACAAACTAGTTTATAAAACCTGTAATCAAATTACTTCATGATTTTCAAGTTTTCTAATGTATGCTTCTTTTCTTCCCCCCAGAGGAAATAAAAGCGGAAACTGAAAAACAAAGGTTTGTGGGGTTTCTTTTCTTTAGTAAAAATAATTTGCAAACTTGTCAGTCTTGGCCAAAATAATAATGCAATCATCTATATTTTAGTGTGGCAAATTTTCTGCTTGTGATCTTTATAATAAAATCAACTTAAAAAATATTTTTTTAAAGAAATATAATTGTAAGCTTACTTATAAATACAAAAACATCTCATGAATACTATATAAGGGTATTTCTGAAATACCATAAGATATGCTTTCAAGTCTTTGCTTAAGGACTTGGATTCATACTTAGAAAGATGACTAGGTTTCTTTGATAGTGTTAACCTCTTCAGGGGACAGTATTGAGTAACTCAGAAGTGCAGTTTGACTTAAGGACCAGTAGAAAGCCCATTGCTTTTTAAGATATTATGATACCAAATTTGTTAGGTGGCAGTAAAATATTTCTATAATAGAAACACCTTGAGATCTTTTGGAAAGAGTATTAGACAAGAACCCAGTGTCTTGCATTTAGTCACAGCTCTGGGCGCTAGCTCTTGACCTGTTGCAAATCACTTAACTTTTCTGGGCTTTGGTTTCCTCATGAAATATGGCAAGATGAAGACTGATTTAGGAAGGTTCCTTTTAGGACTGAAATTCTCTGTTTTCATCGTCAATATAAGAAATGTGATATTCTTATTAGACTCGTCTTTTTCCTTTAGTCCTCCTCATGGAGAAGCAAAAGCTGGATCAAGCACCCTTCCACCAGTGAAATCAAAGACAAATTTTATAGAAGCAGACAAGTACTTCTTACCCTTTGAACTGGCATGCCAGTCCAAATGTCCCCGCATAGTTAGTACATCTCTAGATTGTTTACAGGTATGTATAAAATAGCATTATCTAAAAACCATCTAATTTGAATGTGTTTCTAAAACATTACTCAAAATTGATAATTCAGACAATTTCCATGCAAATCTTGAATATTCTTTTTGTGGTAAGAAACCAAATGGTTGCTTATATTCAAGAGAGACAATAATAGTTGCAAAAAGATGTTTCTAATTTAATGGTAACAAAAATCATCAGTTAGCTTAGTGAGACACAAAATCTTTACTAAGGTTATTAATAATAAAAGTGTTGATTTGGTCTCTTTTTCCATCAGTGAAATTCAACAATACTTGTAACCTGCTGCTGCTCACTTTACATATATCATTATGTAAATGATTTTACTTAATGCCTACTGTTTTATATAAAGAAATAGGTTAATATTGTCAGCTTAATATTTATAATCACTGCTGGACTTTAGCTCTGACCTTCATTTCTGTCAGAAAATTCCTTAAATCTTTTGCCCTGTTTTACTTACACACATACACACAGACACGGGATCCTCTTAGATGTTTGTCAGTCAAACGTCCAGATAGATGGGTCCTTCTCTTTCTAGGTGTTCTCACTGTTTGGGGATTATACTTATTTAACTAACAATTCAATGGCTAGGAAAAGACCATATCCATATCCGTATCATATCATATCCATATGATTTCTTCTTAAGATAGGTTAAGGATAAGTTCATTTGATTTGTGACCTTGTTTTCCCTGACAAATTAGAATTATAATATCTAAGGCCTTCCTTCCAGGGCTGTAATAGTAATGATGAATGAACAAATCTGTGATTTATTGCAGCCAGTGTGTGGAAACTGGGTTTTTTTTGCATATTCACAGATCTAATTTGGAAAGAGATTTTGGGTCATTTAAATGTGTTTCACAAAAGCGGTATCAATAACGTGTACATAGAAAGTAGTAAGCTATTCTAATTCATTAGAGACAAGTTCAGAGGCCTGGCTTTCTCAAAGTATAGCCTCATGGTTTTGTTGTGGTTATTGTTCTGTTTTTGTGTTTTTTTACAAGTGTAAATAGTTTCACATTTGTAGCTAATAAAGCTTTTTTCGGGAAAAGTTGGTATAGCCGTGGCTTTGATTATACCTTAATTTTTTTTTTTGAGGAAGATTAGCCCTGTACTAGCATCTGTTGCCAATCTTCCTCTTTTTTTTCCCCCCTCCCCAAAGCCCCAGTAGATAGTTGTATGTCATAGTTGTACATCCTTCTAGTTGCTCTATATGGGATACTGCCTCAGCATGGCTTGATGAGCGGTGAGTAGGTCTGTACCCAGGATCCAAACCAGGGAACCCCGGACCACCAAAGCAGAGTACACAAACTTAACTGCAACGCCACTTGGCCGTCCCACTATACCTTAATATTTTTATGTAAAAAGTTTAGTGTATTTTCAATTGTATATTGTAAATTTCAATGAATATTTAATTAGTGTATATATTAGCTTAATTAGAATCTTTATTTTCTTTCTCCATTTCAGAAACTTATTGCTTATGGGCACTTGACAGGCAACGCTCCAGATAGTACAACACCAGGCAAAAAATTAATTGATAGAATTATTGAAACAATTTGTGGCTGTTTCCAAGGTCCTCAAACAGATGAAGGAGTTCAGTTGCAGATAATAAAGGTAACTAAGTATGTAAAGTGAATTTGTTATTCATAATGTGTATTTTTTTAAATCAGAAGCGCTTTACCTTGAAAATATTTGGAAAGGTCATTTTATGTGCTTTCCAACTATAATAGAGGTCATTTGGGTGCTTTTTAGAGCCCATATCAGGGGATTTCATTGTTGAATGCCACGAGTTTGTTAGAAGACGACTATATTTCCGACTCTCTTATTTTGAAGGTCCCAGTTTAGCTTGGGCCCCGAGAGTCTTCCAGAGTTTTCCAGTTTCTGGCATGCTTACCATACATATTCCATCTTTTGAGCTTTAGGCTGCCATTTGAAATTTCCGTGACCCCTCTAGTTTCTTCGGTACTGTTGGACCCCCTTCTAGTGAGTCTGGCCTCTTGACTCGTGCTTCACCACGTGAATTACTTGTGCACGAGATTTTCTGATTCCCTTGCAGTTGTTCATCTGCTGAACCTGCTCATCTAAACCCTGTCCTGGGTCTGTGCTATAGCGTACCTGGATGGTTAAACTCCTTTGAGGAGAAATCACTCAGTTGTGTTTTCAGTCTCTTACAGAGTTGTTAATGTTACTGCTAATGGTAGTGGTGGTATGTTTACGTATCAGTAAAATTTTCACGTACTAGTAGTACTTTGGAAATTGTTTATGTCTATAAAGTGTTCCTTCATGTGTGGAATATAGCCCCTTCTGAGCCTTTCAGTTTTATAGCTGTATTTACTTCACAAGTCGTATAATACCTTTATTCTTAAAAAGCTGTCCAATCATTTGGGCCTATCATTTGCAGTTTCTTATAATTCATGGTTTATTTAGCATGTACTCAATGCTGACTCTGCATAGCGTTATATAACATAAAACGGACAGAAGCTATGAGTCTTTGCTTTTGAGAAATTGCAAGTAACCTAAGGTATGAAAATTCACATAAAGTTCACTTTATTGGAGGATTCACCTTAGGATTATTTTAAATTCTTTATTCTAAAACATTTGTAAACATCCTCAGCAATAACAACAGCACATTTATTGAGTCCAGTCTGTAAAAAAGATCTCAGAAAAATTTGGAAGTAAGACACAATGTATATCCTCCAAAGTTGATAATCTGGTTTAACAGATGTATCATATGAGGCATATCTGTGCTCTACTGTGACAGAGTTTTAATGCTGTGCTTTTTTTTTTTTTTTTTTTGATGAGGAAGATTAGCCCTGAGCTAACATCTGTGCCAATCTTCCTCTACATTATATGTGGGTTGCCGCCCCAACATGGCTGATGAGTGGTGTAGGTCTGCACCCAGGATCTGAACCCACAAACCTGGGCTGCTGAAGTGGAGCATGCCGAACTTAACTGCTACACCACAGGGCCTGCCCATAAACTAAATTAAATAATATTTCTATTAAAATGAAACTTGCATTGAAACAAATTAATTGAATGGTTTTCTAGTGTTCTGGTGTTGGGAAGATTATGTGGAAACTACTGCCATAATGAGGAGAACAAAACATTTTAACAGTTGATGATATATTCAAGACAGGTAGAAATTCTGTGTACACTTCCTAAAAGTGGTAATGGTGTCTGAAAGTTTTAATTCTAGTCTAAAAATACTCATATTGGGGGCTGGCCCGATGGTGTAGCAGTTAAGCTCACGTGTTCTGCTTCGGTGGCCCAGGGTTCGCAAGTTTGGATCCCAGGCGCGGACCGACACACCACTTGTCAAGCCACGCTGTGGTGGCGTCCCATATAAAGTAGAGGAAGACAGGCATGGATGTTAGCCCAGGGCCAATCTTCCTCAGCAAAAAAGAGGAGGATCGGCAATGGATGTTAGCACAGGGCTAATCTTCCTCACAAAAAACAAAACAAAACAAAATCAAAAAAATACTCCTATTTTTGTGCTGAAACTCTGGATGCAGAAAATTGCTTTGACTTTGTCTTTTTTTTTGTTTTAAAGGCTTTACTTACTGCAGTAACATCTCAACACATAGAAATTCACGAAGGAACTGTACTGCAAGCTGTGAGAACATGTTACAATATCTATCTAGCAAGCAAAAATCTCATCAATCAGACAACAGCCAAAGCTACTCTTACTCAGATGCTAAATGTTATCTTTGCACGCATGGAAAACCAAGCAGTAAGTATTAAGAAAAGAGAGAGATTATATAGAACACCACAGGCATCAAATGTAGAAGAGAGGCTACAGAAATAACAGTGAAATCTTTGTGCCTGTAGAGAAGAATGTCTTTGATTTACAGTTCTACTTACTGGAGATCTGTAATACTATGTTTTATTTTGTTTTGTTTTGAGGTTTACTGACTTGTTTGACTCTGGATAAAATTTTCTTTTTAGTTGTTCATAAATAGAATGTGAAAGATATTGATTGCCATCTTCCTCATGAAAGCGTTTATGAATTGATATTTTTATATCACTGAAGCTTAGTGAGTGAGTGTAATGTAGATATAAAACTACCTAATTTGATCTCTTCTGGTATAAAATTATTTATTCATTGAGCCTTTAAAAAATAAATAAAAATACTTTTCTGTGTTGATGAAATTTTTTTTCAGTAAGAGATCAGCAGCTAGTGAATCATTTATTTATTTATTTATTTTTTAATTGTCTAGGTCTTCATAATTAAAAACCAGCTTCTAACTTTTTATTTTAAACTGATTTTAAACTTAATGGAAAAGTTACAAAAGTATTACAGAGAGATCCTCTTTACCCTGCTTTCTTTAATGCCAGGATCTCATGTAACCAGTACTGCAATGATCAGAGGCAGGAATTAACACTGGTACAATAATACTATTAAGTAAACTACAAACCTTACTTGAATTGCACCAGTTTTCTCACTAATGTCCTTTTTCTGTTTCTGGATCTGATCCAGAATCCCGCATTGCGTTTAATATGCACCTGTTGTTATGTCTTAGTCTTTTCCGGTTTGTGACAGTTTCTCAGTCTTATCTCTTATCTTTCATCACTTTGATGCTTTTGAATGTTACTGGTCACTTATTTTGTTGAATATCCCTCAATTTGTGTTGTCTAATCTTTTCTCATGACTAGAATGAGGTTGTCCGTTTTTATGCTAGAATACCTCTGAAGCAATGGTGTGTTCTTTTCAATGCATCATATCAGGAACTCATGATCTTGATATATGTCTTTATTACTGTTGAGGTTGACCTTGATTACTTGGTTAATGTGGTGTCTTCCAGGTTCCTCCACTGTAAAGTTACAAGTTATTCTTTTGCAGTTAATAGATATCTTGGGAGAAATACTTTAAAACTATGCAAATATCCTGTTTCCTCCTCATACCTCTCCCATCCCCCAGTTTAAGTATCCATCAGTGAATCTTGTTGGCAACAGTTATTATGGTATTTCTCTACTGATGATTTTCTGTTTCTTCCTCCTCTATTTGTTAATTGGAATTATTCTCCTTCTTTTCTATTTATTTATTCAGTTTAGTTATATCAGTCTGTATTCGTAGATGTTTATTTTATTCTGTGGGTTCTAGTCAATACTATCATTATTTATTTTGTTGCCCAACTTTGCAACAAAGCTGCGTCTTTTTGACAAACTCTTATCCCTTTTTGAGCACCTCCTTACTTTCTAGACTCTCAGGATGTTCCAGGGTCTTTTTGAATTGTCTCTGCTTCAGCCCTGGAATCAACCACTTCAACAGGGAGCCCTGGCTTCTTTGATTGGAGAATGGTGATTAGAAACCAAAATCCGAGTGCTAGCTATGTTCATTGCTGCTGGGATGTTATTACTTCTAGGCCCTCTCAGCAGACGGAACTAGGAAATACATATCTGTATACTCACCCCACCTCCCCACACCCTACACCTGCATGTGACTGTCTATCTGTATATGTTAAAAACTGTGTGTTCATACTGATACTTCTGATTTCAGTCCAACACCACAAGGTTCGTTTCAGCCTTCTCCCTTTTTTGTTTGTAACTTCCTCTCTCTAAAGAGTGAGAAATATGGCTTTAATTTTCTATGATATATTATTTGTTCAATCCTGTTATACACCTAAGATAGTTTTAGAATTGGTAACCCATATCACTGTGAGAAGCAAATTTACAGAGTAGGTTACAGCATTTGTATTTAGTTTTTTTTTTTGTCTTTAGCTTTATAGTATCCATTCAAAATATTGTTTTCCAAAGTTACTTAGGTTAGTCCTTTACACTTTTCAATGGGATAATGTTATTCCTTTATAATACAATTAGGTTCACTTATTATTGCCTGTTTTCCATTTCAGTATCCCTCACACTCTGGTTAGTTTTAATTGCTTATTTATTTTTTGGATATGTTAACCATTACTATGATTTAAGAGTCAGAGCTACACAAAAGTTATACTCAGAGGAGTACTGCTCCCTCCTATTACTACCACTCCATTCCTCTTCCTCCCTTTACACCCCTTCATTGTAGCTAATCTCTTTTGTTTCTAGTTTATCCTTCCTGCATTTCTTTAGCACAAATGAGCAGATATATGTATGGTTTCATTTACCACCTTACTTAGATGAAAGGTAGAATAATGTATTAGTTATCGGTCACTGCATAACAAATACCCCAAACTTCAGCTGCTTATCTCTCACAGTTTCTGAGGGTCCAGAATCCAGGAGTGGCTTAGCTGGGTGGTTGTGGCTTGGGTTTCACATGAGGTTGCAGTTGGCTACATGGATCACAATGTCAGCTGGGGCTGCAGTCATTTAAAGGCTTTATTGGGCTAGAGTATATACTTCCAAGCTCACTCATTTGACTGTTAGTGAAAGGCCTCAGTTCCTCGCTGTCTGTTGGCCAGAAAGGTCTGAGTTTTTTTTACAATGTGGGTTTCATAGGGCTGCTAATGACATGGGAGCTGGCTTCCCCCAGGGTAGATGATCTGAGAGAGAGAGCAACAAGACAGAAGCTGCAGTGTCTACCTTATGATCAGAAGTGGCACAGTGTAGGAGGGAAATCTACAAGGAAGTGAAAATCAAGAGGTAGAGATCATTGGTGGCCATCTTAAAGGTTGGCAGCCACACATACTATAAGGCTCTTTTGTACTTTGCTCTTTTTGTTTAGCAGTATGTCCCAGAAAGCATTCAATGTCAGTTCTTAGAGATCTTCCTCATCCTTTTTTTACAGATGCATAGTCCTCTAGGATGTACTGTAGTCTGTTCATTCACTCTTCTATGTATTGACATTGGATTATTTCTAATATTTTGCAACCACAAATAATAGTTTTGCTGCTTTTTTAAAGAAATGAATGAAAATAATTTAATTGCTTTTTAAGGGCAGAAATATAAGTTTTATTGGTTTGACTTGTTCAGCAAGGTTTAATTACATTCCTTATACGTTACCAGCACTGTTCTGGACCTCAGTTATACAGTGCTGGGCAAAACCAACTACCTTCAAAGATCTTACAAACTGTGGGCATAGAGGGGGAAAATGAACCTTAAACAGGTAATCACACAAATAAATATGTAACTGAATTGTGATAAAGGCTGTGAACATGTTTCCTGTCATGAAGGATATTTAATTCTGTGCTATAGATAATTACTGAAAAGTAGGAAAGGGGAGCAAAAGAAAATTAAAAGGGGAGCAGACTAATTTAACTTCCACATTTTCTAAAATTCTAAGCTAGGAGTCTAATTCATTTATATATGCTACTGATAATCTCCCCCCCCCCACCAGTAAAACTCTACAAAATGTTCAGTTCTAAAATTATTTCAAAGCAGAAAATGCTAAATTTCTTTAGAACCATGGTTCTCAACTGGAGATGGTTTTACCTTGAAGCCACATTTGAGACACTTTGGATTGTCATGACTCAGGTGGGGAGGCTGTTACTGGCATATAATGGGTAGAGGATAAGGATGTTGCTCAACACCCTGTGCCCAGTACAGAAGACAGCCCCCCCACAACAAAGAATTATCTCATCCAAAATGTCAGTAGTACTAATGTTGAAAAACCCTACTCTAGAAAGTATGGAAGTGTATAGAAAATGTTAAAAGGGTTATTTTTATACAATAACATTTCCTGTTTCTTTTCAAGGGTATTTCTAGAGTTTCTACAACTCTGGAATAAGTAGAAAAAGCTAGAATTTGATATCGTACTTGTCTGTGATTCCAAAGCATATGCTTGCCCCACTAAATCTTAGCGTAGATTGGCTGTAGTTAGGCTGCGCGTGAGATTGGATTGCAAGTCATAGGCTTCTCGCTTTTAATTTGGAGATAGACTTGCTCATGAATGGACTAAAGTATTGGTCTAAGAATTCTGTTCTGATTTCAACTGTGCAACTAGTCATGCCCATCAATTTCTTTATCTGTAAAATAACGGATTTAGACCATGTGAATTATAAGGCTCTTCCTGCCTTTTGGGCATTAAAATCTTTTAATTCAAATTTGTTTTATAAATGCGTATAGTTAGTTCTGGTATTTCCACATAACCTGGAATACTATTAGGGAATATGAAATGTTCGTATTTAACACTGTAAAATATTTATCTTTGTGGAAATTAATTCTGTGAAAATCATTCTTATTAGGTCATGAGGACCAAAAGAGCTGTGTCTAAAAGCAATCAAGTGCTAAAAATGAAACCCTATGATCCTGGTTGTTACTCTTTTTAGCATCTTATAATTAGTGAGCCAGTTTTGCAGGTAGTATTATATACATAATAATGACAGAGCTCCCAAAATAAAACTCAAACATTTGTAGATACAGTTTTTTCATTCTTATTAGATGACTGGGCAGAGGGGTTTAAGTACTCTTTGCAATTTTATTTATTAAATATAATTTTATTCATTTTTAATTAAAAGACATTTAGGTGTCATAAGAACATGTTAACAGAAGAGTATACACTGAAAAGTTCCCTCCCACTTTTGTTTCTAATTTGGTCATTTCCCAACCTCTGCCACCAATAGGTAACCGTTATTACTAGTTGCTTGTGTATTAACCACTGTTACTTGTTTTTGTGTGTTTTTAGTATATTTTGTGTTCTTTGTTTCTGATGAACTATGATTTCTAAGCCTAGAGACAAGGTGGCACTTAGGATTTATAGTTGAACGTAACATTACTCCTCCAAATTTTAAACAACTTATTTTACTAATATTGGAAATTATTCTATTTCTTTCCAGTTGCAGGAAGCCAAACAAATGGAGAAAGAAAGGCATCGGCAGCATCATCATCTGTTGCAGTCTCCAGTAAGCCATCATGAGCCTGAATCACCTCAGCTTAGATATTTGCCACCTCAGACTGTTGATCATATATCCCAAGATCATGAAGGGGACCTTGATCCGCATACAAATGATGTGGATAAAAGCCTTCAGGATGACACAGAGCCTGAAAATGGATCTGATATTTCCAGTGCAGAAAATGAACAGACTGAAGCTGATCAGGCAACTGCAGCTGAAAGTAATCTTTTTGAGAAGGGATTGTTGGGGGCGGTATGTGTGTAAGGGAACAGTGTAGGAATGCATTTTTGGTAAAGAAATGTGGAAAGGGTAATACTGCTTAGTAGATAGCAAACACATTGTGGTAATTGTGGACTTTTTCCTTCCTAGCTGGTGAAGTTAATTTCACTCCAAAGCATAAAACATCTATTAACGATGCAATGCATTCGTTAGCCTCTCATGAGCAGTATGCTTTATAGACTTGCTTTGGAGGAGATAATGTGTTACTGAAGAGGGTCATAATTGTCTGTTAGCATGTTATGTAGGAACTTCAGTTTTATTCTTAAAATTAGTTTCACAGCAAACGAGAGACCTATTTATTTAGTAAGGTTTTCTGGAATGTGACTGAAAATTTTAGGAAATTGTTATATTATTAGTTCAGAAAATATTATTATGGTCAAAAAAGTACTGAAATTAAATATAAAAAAAATCTTTTGAGTAACCACCTGACATAAAAAAATATTTATTTTTGTATCCCAATGTGTAATAATCACTAAAATGGAGATGTTCTCTGACAGTATTTGTTTTAAGTAAATTTATTTATAAGAAAAAGTTTATAAGATTATGAAAACGAAGTTACACAAATTTATTTTACAAATATGTTTCTCTAAAAATAATCACATGAAGTCTTTTTTTTCTCCAGACATTATTCTCAGCTTTAGCTGTTCTATAAAACTGTCAGGGAATTTGGTTCTTCCCTTTGTTCCTCCTTAGCTTCGTGTCAAAAAAGGATGGAAATTCTGTTGCCTATTCAGTGTGGTTATGTAGAACCAGGATCGTTAGGGCTTAGTTACTATTCATCTGAATTCTGTGTTTTTACTTCACTTTCTGGAAAGACTTCTATAATATTTTTCTTTTACCACATCTTTTCCGTATCCTAATAATGGCATGAATATCAGCAGTGGCATGAATAGTTGCTTTTTTACTATTTTAATAGTACTTTACTATTTTTAAAGGGATAATTTTGATAAACCAAGCATTCACAGTGCTCAAGCTAATAGTGAATCTGTAGTGCTTGTATGATTTACATTTTTCTAGCCTGCCGTTGCCAGAATTCCCCCTACTTTCACTGTGAGCTTATAAGGGGCTGACTCAAAGGGCTAATCTCTGATAAAGCTGGGACTTCACGTGTTCCTTCACTTCTTCATCCATGCATTGAGCAAACATTCATTTAGCATACTGTGTCCTAGGCACTTGTGTGCTAGGACTTGGGGTTAAAAAGTTGGTGGAGACATAGCCATTGCTCTTAGGCTGCTCATGGTCTGCCTGGATGGTGGATGGTCAGGCGTGTATAAATGAGGTATAACAAGATAAATATCCTGGAAGTGGCATGCATAAGGTGATTCTGCTGAGGAGTGTTAGGGAATACCTTTGTAGAGAAAGCGGTGATGTTTTAGCTGAATCATGATGGATAGGGGTAGGAATTGGCCAGCTAGAAAATTTAGGAAATTTTCTGACAGAAGAAATGATGTGAACTGAGACCGAAGGAATGGAAGCATCTGCTATGTATGAGGTACTACTGTAGGTACCTTATAGGATACAGAATTATAAATAAGACATAATTCCGTGTGGCATAGTCATGATTATTTTGGCTTTAAATGTGTTTTTCTCCCAACAGCTGATATAAATGAAAATTCTACCTGAGACTGAGAGCCATCGGTTAAGAGTACATGCTCTGGTGTTAGATTACCTGCTTTGAATCACACCTGTCACTTACTAGTTATGTGACTTTGGACATAATAGTTAACTTCTCTAATCATCTCCTATGTGTAATAAATATTACTCAGTTACTCTAATCTATTTCTATCAGATAATTTATGTGAGAATTGACTCTTGGTTCACTAGTCATTTTGTGCACATTTTAGTGACTGTATATTTAGTTATGTTGAAATGCTAAATTTTTGGCCTCTAGGTAATTTTAGCCAACTAGAGCAGAGAAATACACAGCTTAAGAATGGTGGAAAAATGATCTGTCAAGACATTTTTTCTCCACAGAAGAGTCTAAATGCTGTTGTGTTTGGATTTTTTTTGTAAAATAAGGTTACTAATTTGACATGCTTAGTTATTAGATTTCCCCTTGTAGCATTCAGTATTCTGTAGAATGCAGCAAACAATAGATTAGGAGCAGTGAACAATAGGGAGGACATGCTTCTGGAAGCCAGAATTATAAGCAGCAGTCCTTCATGGTAGTATGAGTGGGCACGGGGTTGTAGACAGCAGCACTATCAGCTGATATGCAGTCTGATGCCATTTGGTGTAGGGTAGTGGCTCCCAGAACAGGGTCCTGGATCCCAAAGCATCCAGAAGTGCTAATTGAGCCTTCCTGAGATATTTTCAGCATTTCAAAAAATCCAGTGGAAATCCTATTTTTATCTGCAGTAGTCTATACAAGCTAACTGGAATGTCAAGTTTTTATCAATTTCTCTTATGCTGTTCAGAAGTTCTGATTGGCAGTTATATCTGTTTTCAATTAAAATTAAATTGGGGAGCGATTTCTTTTTTACATATTGAATTTAGTTTTGCATTGGATGTTTAGATTCTGTCGGGGAAGAAAAAGGAAGGAAGGGCTGTTGGAGGCCCAGATGACCCTATCTCTGCTTCTTCAAGGACCTCACTATATTAGAGCACAGCGATGAGCTTGTTATTGATAAGCCTAATGAGTCAAAACAAGCTTTAATTACATTTAATATATTATTTGATAAGTATGTGGGACATGTTAGAAATGTTTCATTCAAAATAATTTTTAAAAATTTTGGTTCTTAAAGGAATAATCTAGAAAATTCACTTAAGTGGAATAATTGTTTAATAGCTTGTCAAATGAATCATTGTTGAAATTGACTTAAATTTATAAAGTATTTTAAAATTTGGTTTGGTTGTAAGTTTGAAAAGTTGAACATATAATTGCTTCTAGTTTCATGTATCTATTTGATTCTTTTCAGGAGAGTTTTTCATTATCAGTATTTAGTAAAAGTTTCCAAAAAATTAAAGTGATGTTTTCTTTAATTTTTCTTTTTTAAAGCATTATCTAAAAATGATATATTATATGATGGAGAAAGCCATGACTGTGAGGAGAAGCCACAAGACATTGTACAAAGCATTGTAGAAGAAATGGTGAACATCATTGTTGGAGGTAGTATATTTTACTTGAAATTAGTTTATTCTGTCTTAATCGTATTTCTTTTGAGTATAGAGACTATAATGTGTGGAAAAAAAAGGGCAAAATGATAAGCTCTTTCTCAAATTAGTGCGAGACTGTATGTGGAAAAAATATTTAAATAAATCTTTGGTTATAGAAGAGTACTCCTTAAAAACCCTGTTTCCCACACCGTTATGGAAAAGTTGATACCATTTTATTTTTTGTTCTTGTGTTTGGTGGGAGAGGGGCAAAGGTATATTCTCCAGAATCTTCCTAAAGGTACTAAACTTTGTAAACTAGAAAATGTTTAAGTTGGTTTGGTTTGAGTATTTCATGTCTTTGTGGGGAAAATCGTGATTTCTTGTACTTTATTATCACGAGCAAGTCATAGTTGATATAGGGTCAGTTCCTATCTTATGGTTGTATTATAAAAATGTTTTAAAGTCTGTTAGGAATTTCACTCAAATTTTTCATAAATAGTATTGTTATAGATGGGATTAGATTTGAGACCAATCCACTGAAGCTTATTTAATTCATAGTGTCTTGCATAGGATTACGCATAGTACCTTGCTACATATACTTCTAGAAGTATGATTAAATGTACAGTATGACTCTTGAATAAGAATAGTCCTGTTTCAGCCATACTTAACTCCCACTTATAACATTATTTCTAAGAATATATTTCCTTTCTTAGTATATAACACTAGAATCAGGCATTCATCTGATTGGCCTTCTCATTTTTTAATTCATCTTTTCATTCAGCAAATACTTATGGTGTTTACAGTTGTGTGGCACTGTAGAGGAATACAAAAGTTAATCCAAGGTAGAACATGCTCTGGAGGAAAGGGTTCTGGAATGTGTGTATGTAAGACTAGTACAAGGTATAAAGTGATAAGTGCCATTAGAATGAAACAGCCAAAATCCTATTCAAGTTCAGAAAAAAGAGTGATTATTTCTAACTAAAATGATCAAGGAGGGCTTCACATTTTAGATTGATCCAATGGTTTCTTTATTTGGATTTAGATTAAACCTATTTGGCAAGAATATTACATCGGTAATGTTAGTGCTTCTTACATCATTTAACTTGGTACATAATAACAAGTTACTCCCCTGTTGGTGATAATGTTGATCATTTGGTTAAAATGATGGACCACCAGCCCTCTTCATTGTAAGGGAACATTTTTCCCTTTATAATTAATAAGTAATCTGAGAGTGATACCTTGAGATCATATGACGATCCATTCACTCAGGGGTTTTAGCATCCATTGATGATACTTGCCTTAGATATTACGTTGGTTGCAGTCTAGTGATTTCATAATTCTAACATTGACATTTTTCTATAGAGAAGAGCTCCTCACCTTTTAAAAAATAATACTGTGAGCTCATGAATTCTTATGAATAATACTGTGAGCTTATAAATTTATTATTCAATGTGTTATGATCGTTTACCATCATTATTCTTTGTTCCTGATCTGGCCAGTAGTAATCCCTTCAAGCCTGCTCCTGCCTTTGTCTTTTTGATGTGATTCCATTAGTCTTTGACCATTTCCTTGTTTTCTGGAATAGTAAGATGTTCTAGATTCACCTTCAACTTTCCTTTGCCCTAGTCCTGGAATCAACTAGTTTTTTAAGGAGTCTTTGTTCTTTTTAGTGGGCAGTTGTGTTTAGAGACCAAGATCTAGGTACTAGGTGTACTCATTGCTACTGAAGTATCATATTTCTAGGCCCTTCCAATGGAAAGAGATAGGGAGATATACAATCACAAGTGCATATTGATAATTCCAATTCACATCCAGCGCCCCAAGGTTTCTCTTCATCTTCCTGCATTTCATATTTGTATCTCTCTTTTCCAACAGTGAAAACCCATATTCTCAACAACAATGTGCCATTACTGACAACAAACCTATTAATTGAAGTTCAAGATTTCTTTGCAATTATGTGTACTTAGAATATATCCTACTAAGGATGAAGAATGAGAGTACTAGGTTTAAAAGTTACTTGTATTAATTACTTATTGATTTAATTTTGTTTTTTTAATTGAAGAACATTTACATGATTCAAAGTCAAAATTATATAAAATATTTAGAGAACTCTTCTATCCACTTCTTCCCTTTCTGACCCACCTTCTGTATGTAACCACTTTCGTTAGCTTTTAGTTTATCCTTTCTGTGTGTATGTGTGCGTGTGTATGTGTGCGTTTCCCGCAGAGAAGTAAGCAAATACTTACCTTATTTTCTTTCTTTTTGGTAGAACACTGTGTATCTTTTGTGTCTCCCTCTTTGTCACCTGATATATACTAAAAGTCCCCCTATTTCAGTTGATAGAGATATTTTGTATTCTTTTTTCTCTTAGCTCTGTGCATAATACTCTCTTATGTGGATGTATTGTAGTTTATTTAACCAGTCCTCTGTTGGCAGGAACTTTGGTTATTTCCAGTGTTTTGCTATCACGAATAATGCTGTGGTGAATAACCGTGTGCATCTGTGTTGTTTCTTATTGGTGGAGGTTTATCTTCAGGGCAAATTCATAGAAGTGAGATTACTGGGTCTGGTGGTAAATGAATATGAAGATATGTTAGCTATTGCTGAATTTCCCTTCATAGGTATTGTACCGTTTTGCACTCCTACCAGCCACGTATGAAAGTGCCTTTTTCTCTGTAGCTGCCAGTGCAGTTGAAGGTTTTGAATTTTTGCCAACCTGATAGGTGAAAAATGCATCTTAGTTTGATTTTAATTTGCATTTCTCTATGAGTGAAATTAAATACCTTTTCATATGTGTAAGGGCCATTGTATCTTTTTTTAAAGAGTCATCTATTCGTGTCTTCTGTTTATTCTATTGTGTTTTTATCCTTTTTCTCCTTTAATTTTTAAGAATCTTGTATATATTAGGATTCTGATATATTTTAACAAATGTTTTCTCTCAGTTTATTTGCCCAAGTCTTTTGACCTTAATATGGTGTTTTTGCTCTGCAAAAGTATTTTTCGTATTTTTCTTGCATGCCTGCATACATATATTTAAGTATAAATGGAGCATACTATACTTAGTGTTTTATAATCTGCTTTTTTCACATACTAAATTATAGTTTTCCTTTCATGTCAATTTGTATTTCATTATATTGATGGTCCATAATTTATTTAAATAATTATTAAATAATCTCCTATTAATACTAGCACTTAGATTGTTTCCAGGTTTTTGCTTTTTGTAACCACTGCTCTGATGAGCATTCTTTTATAGATTTTTTTTTGCACTTTTCTTTAGGATAAATTTATAAAAAAGGAATACTTTAATGAAGGTGTATAGGCATTCAAAATTTATATACAATGCTTTGTTTAATGTCACTTTAATAGATGGACTATATCTTATTGTTTTAGTTTATGTTTCTTTGATTATTTGCAGCGTCAAACATAGGAAGCAGCTATTAGTTTTATGGGTCAAATACTGGCAATTTCATGTGGTCCAACTGAGTATCCATGGATTATTTATACTTTTCAGACTTGTCTGTTCATGTCTTTTGCCTGTTTAGTTTTTTGATTTTTTGTTCTTATTTCAAGAGTTCTTCATATTAAGAAATTAAACCTTGTTCAGTGTATTGTAAATATTTTTTCCAGGCAGTCTTTGTGTTGTTATACATTTGTTTATGTTGTTACTATTCTGAGCTGATATTTGACCACACAGAAAAAAATTTAATACTGTCTTTTCTTTTGTGAATTCTGTTTTTGTCTTGCTTAGAATGGATTTTACCACCCTAAGATTATAAAAATATTCTACTCTATGTTTTTCTAATTCTTTTGTTTTCATTTTTTGAATTGAGATCTTTAGTTCATCTGAAATTTATTTTTCTGTATGATATGATATTGGATAGCTTCCCAATTAATTTGAAATGCCAATTTTATCCCAAATAGTTCTGTTTGAGTTTTCTGTACAGTTATTGAGCTATTTATTCTTATCTAGTGTTGAATTATTTAAAATATTTTAACTTTACAGTACATTTTGATGTTTATGGTGCAAGTCCCCTCCATCAATTTTTAGAATATCTATTACATGTACTCTTCAACATGAACTTAAAACCAATTCATTAAGTTCAAAAAATAAGTTTATTTAGTAATTGGAATTGTATTGTTTATAAGTTAACTTGAGGGAGATATATCTTTGCAGTATTGGATCTTCTTATCCAGAAACGTAAGTTTGTTTAGTCAAAGCTTTTATGTTATTCAGAAAGTTTTATTGTTTTCTTCCTTTGGTTCTTGCACATTTCCTGTTAAATTATATCTGTATTTTTTTGTTTTAGTTTTGATAGTATTATGGGTGGGTCTTTTTTTCCCCACTTCTTAATTTATTTGGAATATAGAAAAACTCTTATTTATCCATATTTATCTCCTATTTATTTACCTTTTGAACTCTCATATTGTTTATACAAGTTTTTCATTTGGTTATTTTAGGTTTTTCTAGGTGAATAATGCTATTTTGTCTTTGTTTCATCCTTCACAGTATTTATACCTAATTTTTGTTTTTTCACTTTTGTTATATAGCATTGGTTTGAACCTCTTGAAAATGTTGAAGAGTGTTAATAGTGGCAAGGATCCTCATTTTGTTTTTAACTTTATTGCTATATTTCCTATTAAGTTGATGATTGCTGGGGCCGCTTGGTGGCGCAGTGGATAAGTGCGCGCGCTCCGCTGCAGCAGCCCGGGATTTGCAGGTTCGGATTGTGGGCGTGCACCGCCGCATTGCTTGTTAAGCCATGCTGTGGGGCGTCCGATATAAAGTGAAGGAAGATGGGCATGCATGTTAGCCCAGGGCCAGTCTTCCTCAAGAAAAAAGAGGATTGGCATCGCATGTTAGCTCAGGGCTAGTCCTCCTCACAAAAACAAAACAAAACAAAAAAGTTGATGATTGCTATTGTTTTTTGGAAGATACTCTTTATCAAGTTAAGTAAGTTTTCTTTATTTCTAGTTCGTGAAAAGATACTTTTATCTTTTTGTATGTATATGAGTGTGTGTGCGCCTGGGTATGATTTTACTTTTTTAAATAAGGACTAGTTGTTGAATTTTTTAACACTTTTGCATCATTCTAGTGATTTTTCTGTTCTGTCTTTATTTATTCTCCTCCATCTTTTGCATTCTTCCCTTCCACATCTCACACTAGCAGTTGTTGAGTATTTTGCATCATGTCCTTTGTTGCTCTTTCAATCTTTTCTAATTTCCACCATTTTGTGTTAGGATTCTACATTGAGAGAGGATGTTGCAAGGGGTTTTCCAATTTGTAAATGCTTTATTCATTAATGTCCACTCTGTTGCTTTTCCCAGTGTGTACTCTGTTGCTTTTCCCAGTGTGTGTTTTATTTCAGTAATTACCTTTTTGTCTCCAAGAACCCTGTTTTCCTCAGAGCTTCTTTTTTCATAGCGCTTTGCTCTTGTTTATTGATGCAGCATTCTTTCACATATCACTGAAAGTGCTAATTAGAATTGTTCCAGCTCTAGAATTTGTTTCACCAGGAAACCATTTGCTTAGATTGCTGAGCTTTGACCTTACTTTTGAGCAGTAGGCTTTACATTTCTGCCTAATTATAGAAAAGAAAGACTAGATTTGATCAGTATATAAAGAGCTCTCTAATTGTGTGCATTTCTTTTCCTTTTCTCACGAGGTCTTCCTCTCCAGAGTCGGTGAGGTAACTGCAGTCTAAAGGCAGACCTCATTTCCGAGCTGAGAACTGACTAAAAAGCAGATGCCTCTCTCACGTGGGGTGTGATCTAGTGGTCCTTGGGCTGTGTTAGCTTATCTCACTGTTTTGTCAGCACAAACTGAAGTCAAGTGAAGCTTGGGATAAATGCTATGTGTGAACATTTTATATATTTTAGGCTCTGGGGGATTCTTCAGACTTGTTCGTTTGTTCCCACTCTCCCAACCTTTGTCAGGGAATCTTCGGGCTGCCTTCATTTAGTTAGAGCTTTAGTTAGCAGTAGTCAGATAGAAACAGAGTGGAAGCCTAGAGCTTCAGGAGAGTTCACTGCAGTTCTAAGTTGGTTTTTCTTCTGTGCTTATTGCAGCCCTCATTAGCTGGGATACTGCTGTCTCCCCTCCTACTGTACTTCTTGGGTTAAGAGACTCACCAAACAAATCCTCCACTTGAATTAGCAGGCAGATACAGATACAGATACAGTCTAGATGATCATGGCTGCCAACAGCTCTGTTGGTAGACCTTAGCATGGTTCTCCAAGCTCTTTGATTCGCATCTTCCCTCCTACCCCGTAGCCCTTGCCATTCTAGGCTTTGGAGTATTTTAGAACCTGCATGGTAAAACTCAACCACTGTCAGGCCTGTTTTTTGCATGTGTTCAATCACAAGCATTTGAACATTATTGACTTTTCCCTTGATCTAAATCTATCATTTTCTAGGAAATCCTCCAAGATTTTGGTCCATTGATCATATCCTCCTTAGTTTTCCAGTGCAGTTAAAGACTTTGTCTCTTGTTTATATTTTTCTTAGTAATTTCAGTGGGATTCATCAAAGGAGAAGGTAAATTAGTGGGCTCAGTTCACCACCTTGAAAACAGAAGTCTGTACTTGTGTTTAAGGGACAATTAGAGGGAGAATTAGAGGAGAAAACATAGAGAATCATAATATCTGACTCTATTAAGTACTTTCTGTGTATCCCAAATGATTTTATGTGCTTTACTTGCATTTATTCATACAATCCTCTCCAATTGCTAAGATATTTAAAAACTGTTACTATTCCCTTTTTAAATATAAGAAAATTGAGGCACTGAGAGATTAATTTGTAGGAAGTGGTAAAGTGAAGATTCCAACCCAAGGATGTCTGGCTTCACAGCCTAAAAATAAAATCAGAGGGCTGGCTCAGTGGCGTAGTGGTTAAGTGCGCGTGCTCCGCTGCAGCGGCCCGGGTTTCAGAAGCCCGGGCACGCGCCGACGCACCGCTTGTCAAGCCATGCTGTGGCAGCATCCCATATAAAGTGGAGGAAGATGGACACGGATGTTAGCCCAGAGCCAGTCTTCCTCAGCAAAAAGAGGATTGGGCCAGCCCCGTGGCTTAGCAGTTAAGTGCACGCACTCCGCTACTGGCGGCCCGGGTTTGGATCCTGGGCGTGCACCAACGCACCACTTCTCCGGCCATGCTGAGGCCATGTCCCACATACAGCAACTAGAGGGATGTGCAACTATGATGTACAACTATCTACTGGGGCTTTGGGGAAGAAAAAAAAAAGAGGAGGATTGGCAGGTGTTAGCTCAGGGCTGATCTTCCTAAACAAACAAACCAATCAGTCAATCAATCAGTGTTTTCAGTTCCTTTGAGAAATTTCCTAAGAAGGGAAGAAGGAAAGTGTTATCAATGAATATTGATTATTCCTTTCAGAAATTTGATAAAAAGAGATAAAAGGACAGTAGCTGAGGTGTGGAAAGAGTTGAAGGAATATATATTTTTTTAACGTGAAAAGACTTGAGTATGTTTGTTGAGTAATGGGGAAGATCCCATTGTGTACACAGAATTGAAAACATAATTAATAAAGAAAATACTCGGAGGAGGAAGATACTACTGAAGGCAAGAAGAGGTGGATTTGAGGGCAAATGACTGATTCACCTTAGTAACACAAAGGAATACTTTTTCCCCTGAAATGAGAGAGAAGAAAAAGATTATTGTTGGTGTGAAGGAACTTTATGGTGGGCAAAGGAGAATGAGGAAGGCTATTTTAAATTACCTACTTCTTGGCTGAGTAGAAGGTAGAAGTCCTTTGTTAAAGGAAGGCGGAGGAGGGGCGATGGGAGGCAATGTAATTGGGTGCAGAGAGAAAGAGGTTTGGGATAAGTGCTTTGGGGAATGATTATCAATTTGATAATCATTATTAAATTTTTTGTGACTTCTTCCAGAGAGTTCTTTGCATATATATAAGCATTCTTTATGTAAGAATATGTATATATTAAATATATACATTTGTATATATTTGTAAATATATACATTTATATAAATATATACATATGTAAGATATGTATATATTAAAAGTATTTATATAGTATTTAATAGTATTTAGCATGTCAAACATTAGCATATTAAAGCTTCAAGAGGTCTGCTGGGAAAGCAACTGTTTTGTTTTGTGTAATGCAGAGTTTCCCAAATATTTTTTATCAATGAATATCCTTTTCATGTAACACTTGTTAATTGCAAAACATACTTTGGAATTATTCAGTTTAGTCTATCCAGGGTATTCTAATTTGGAGAGTAGGAAGCAGCTTCAGAGTACGGATACCAGAAGCGGCTACTCCTTTTATTACTTGAGTCAATCAAAAATTGGGAACATGTTATCAGTTATCAAGAAAATTAATATTAGCTACCACCTATTGGGAACCAGTTGTGTTTTTTATATATTTTGTGTGTGTGTATGTGCGTGTGTGTTTTGGTGGTTTCTCATAGACATTATTATCTTTGTTGCTGATGAAGAAACTGAGGCGAAGAAAGATGAAATAACTTATCCAGTTAAATGGTGGAGACATGATTGAAACACAGGTCCTTCATATTCCAAGATCTGTGCTCCTTATAGTACAGTATATTTTCCTTGTGGTAGCTTATAGTTTCTTTTAATTGGTAGCATGAAAGGAGCAGTTTCTTGCCCGGTAGCTGCTGAGTTATGGCCACAGATATGTATGTGTTCATTTTTTAAAGTAACGTACTTTACGCCTAGACTAGTTCCGAAACTTAGTATTATTTGCCTTCTCTCTGTTTCTTCTACCAGAAGTCATTTCTTTCTGTTTATATTAATTATAAGTGTGATTACTCAGAGTGACATACTGGAAAATATTCAGAGATGTAGGCCATTATTTCCATAGCTGTGTTCCAAAGAATATATGTTGTGAGAAGTATTAATAGGTATTCTGAAAAAGGAGAAGGGGGCTCATGGTAAAACAAATTTTGGAAACACTACGTATTGCGTATCTGCTTTGGAGAGGGCTCAATGCATATTAGCAGATTAAAAGCTATAATAAAGAAACCAATTTCCCAGCATTTTCCTAACTTATTTGATAATGGGATATTTTTTTCAAGGAATTTCTCTTAACATCTTAAGGCATTGGCAATTCATTAAAATTCAGTTTAGTAAATGCTGATATAGAAGCTTCTGTTTTGGCACATCCCCGTTAGCCTTTCATCAGCTGAGTGTGTTTCATTGCTAGAGCTACTTAAGGATCGTATTTGGATGTATTCCAAATGCATACTTACTTACTACTAAGTATTCTAACCCTTAAATGGAAGCAATACGTATTACTTCACATTGCTTTTCTGCCACGTGAATACTTTATGCTTTTTCAGTACACTTTAGTTGAGTCAGATATATTTGCATGTTTTTTATTTTTACCATTTTAGATATGGGAGAAAGGACTACTGTAAATGTAAGTGCAGATGGCAACGTTGGAACTATAGAGGATGGTAGCGACAGTGAAAATATTCAAGCAAATGGAATTCCAGGAACACCAATTTCTGTTGCATATACACCATCCTTACCTGACGACAGATTGTCTGTCTCGTCCAATGATACTCAGGTATAAATAGGGGAAAAGATGTTAATCTTAAAATTGATAGGCTACCAACACTTTGTGGTGAATATATCCAGTTGATGATGCTGGCTGATTTCAGTTTGGGGAAATAAAAACTGGGTTTTTTTTCTCATTGATATAAATCAAAGTGGTTTATTTCCCTAGTATATTGATAGCCATATTTCCAACTCTAAGGTGTATCTCATATGTGTTCACATCTTTCCTACACCGTCCCTTCATTGAAATTACATTTAAAAAAGAACATTTGTAATCACATAGTCATAGGATAATTGTAGTAACATAGAACGAGAAAGAACTTGTAGAAATCCAGAGGACTTCGTCTTACCTTTGTTCAGGGCTACAATGAAATCCATACTGTGGTAGTGATAGGTCCTCTTCATCCTTCCTACCCTGTATCTTGTGTGTTTTTATCCTTATCTTTTTAGATAAGGGAGTCCTACCTTAAATCATTGCCCTGTACATAGGGGTAAGTTTTCTTGGCCTTGTTGATCTTTGTCAGTTAACAGCTTTTAAACATTGCTAGATAATCTCCATTGTCTTATGTCTATCTGTGCAGAGTAGATAAAAAATAAAATGGGACAGAAACATAAAACACCCAATGACAATGACAGATAGTGGAAAGCATAGTTTAGGCTGTGGATGAAGTATCTTGTCAGGGGATGATGTACTAGTTTTTGTTAATAATAGTATGAACGAGGTAAATTTTAAGAGTTTATTTGGTGGCGAAGAGGGAATATTTTAAAAGAATGCATTTTTAAGGTATTAATTTATTTTTGGGCATGTCAGATTAAAGAAAAATAATCTAGCAAATACCTCGTCTGGTTTCTCTTCCAATAGAACCCCACCTTTTACTTAATTGAATAAAATGTATAGAAGGCTGACATGATTTTACGCTGGTACATGTCTTTATTTACATGGTATGTTAACTTCTTTAGGAATCTGGAAATTCTTCAGGACCTTCACCTGGTGCTAAGTTTTCCCACATTTTACAAAAGGATGCCTTTCTAGTATTCAGGTCATTGTGTAAACTGTCAATGAAACCACTGTCAGATGGACCACCAGATCCAAAGTAAGTCATTAGCTGTTCTGCCTGACCAATACAGTTTTTTAATTGTGAGTCTTACTTAAGATAGTCTTTGGATTTTCTTTTGTTCTTCTTGTCCTGTAGGACCCTCAGAAATATATTTTAGTGTTATTTTACTTTTAAAAAATGTATCGAAAAACAGTGAGTTCCAAAACTGCTGGAGTAGATATCTTACACTGTTTCCTAAAGTGTACTGATAGCATTATAGAATTGTGCCTGATACATAGTAGGTGCTCAATAAAGATTGAATGAATTTTTATTTCAATATTGTAAGTAACTTTGGAGCTAATAGAGCCCTGTTTTCCAGCCTCATGGTAGGCTTCTGAAGGCTACCAGTTGAAAGGTAATAAAACCTGTAGACTTCTGAAGGCTACCAGTTGAAAGGTAATAAAACCTAAGAGAAATAAATCTTAAAAGTCATAATGAAGGATAATACATACATTAAGGTCTGAAAAATGCCCTGAGATGATACCTTTCTCTGTAGGGAGCAGGAAGTACTTTGAAGTAGGAGTCGCTTTCGGATTTCCATCAAATGTATTAGTTTAAACCATAGTAAAGTTCCATTTTTGTAAGTCATAAGTCATCAAATATCTTTTATTTCGTATGATTCAAGTGTAACTAATTCCTGCTTGAGACTGAGTTTGGGAATTATTAGAGAAGCCTGCCTCTCTGATGCTGCAACATGATGTAGTATAGCATGACCGTGTTAGGAGAACTTGTTGGAGAAAGCCACCTTAGAGAAGGCTTGAGTGACTTTGAGAAAGGTATATTGAAATAGGGGGAAATGTAAGCAACTCTACTTCATTAAAAAAAACTCTAGAGCATTTCAGTTTCTTAGTGTCAACTAAGAAGAAAGACTAGAGACAGTTGCAATAAAAACTTTATAAGTTTTGGGAAACCATATTTGTTATATTTTCTATAGTTTTGTTTTATTTTGTCACATTGTACTGATTTAGTGAGAAACATCTTTTAGGCCCAGAAGCCTAAAATTCTAAAATCTTCTTAGGCGCAAATCCCGGGAGTCAGAAATATAATTTATTTATTCTTCTGCATTTTGAAAATATAAACTCTACAGAAAAGGGATTAAGGTTGTTCAGATTGCAGTACAGACTTGATTATACTCTATATATTTTATAAGAATATATTTAAACATTTTCCAATTTCTTATTCTCATAATGAGGGGAAAAATAACTTACTCGTTCAAAAATTGACAATTTTGATATCGCATTATAAATTGCTGAAGACCTACTTTAAGGAGGAAACAACCTAATAATTTGGTGTTATTGCTAAAGGCCATTTTTGCCATGATTTTAAAATGTTATTGACCATAAAAGCCTCAGATGTTTAGTTTTCCCAAATCAAATGTAAAAAATGTGATTTGAAACATGATAGAAACAGAAAAGAAGGAATTCTTTTAAATGCCAAGAATGGAGTGATGTCGCCTATGTCGTTCCTGACTTCACTCCCCCTCACAAGAGGAACAACTAACGACTATTTAAGAACAAGACACCACTGAGAGAATCCTAGACCACAGGGATAAGGCTGGAGCACCCCAGAGGCTGCACCGCAGAGACCAAGAAAGACTGCATTAGAAGGGTACAAGAAGAGGCTAACACGTCAACTGCATTGCCCCTCCCCTAGGCCAGCGCAGTACCACGCAGAGAAGTCTCCTCTGAGCCTCTGCTTCCTCCAGTGGGAGAAGAGAACCCAGGCAGGACAACCAGCTTTCCCAGAATTATGGGTCATTTTGTGGGAGCCTAGTAGCTCGTTCCACAGGGATTGCAGAGGAATCTGCAGGGCTCAACCACTAAGAATCTGTGGCTGAGAAGGAGGAAGGGGCTTGCAACAACCAGCACAGGGATCTTGGCAGACGGAGTTCACCCCTGCAACACCAAGCAGTAATCCCAACCAGCGGCTTTGCTCATCTGCAGAACCAACTCAGTGGTGCAGTCTGACCAGGGAACTTGGCAGGATACAGATCTGCTTGATTTGGATCGTCAAAGAAGGAGTTTTGTCAGGCATAGACCCTGATTTGCCCATGCCCAGACAAGGAGCTGAGTCACAGCCCCACTTGCTGTGGAGAGTGTCTCCTGGCCACATCTGACCAGGGGGCCTGGCAGGAACCTAGAAGCTGTGTATCCCAGCAACACTTGAGCTGAGAGGCAGGATGGGCAGAGCTGATGGCCCCCAGAACAAAATCACTTCTGGGCATGGAAGTTTCCTGTGCTAGGCACAGGCAGGAGGATTAATTCATAGCCAAGGCTGAGGGTAGCTCTCAACCTCTCCCAGCGAGAGACCCTGCTTGGGAATTTGAGAGTTGCCTGGAACGACCCCTCCTCTTACCATCCTGGCAAGGGAGCTGAGAGACAGCTCCACCCACCCACTGTGGCTTCCTGTTCCATTTGAACAAAAGGACTGGTGAGAATACCTGGAAGCTGTGCAGCCCAGCAGTGCTCAAGCCAAGAGAAGGGCAGGCAGAGCTGATAGTTTGCCGAGCAAAGCCAGTGGACCTGTTTGGCCAGAGAACTTGCGGCATGGGTCAGCTTAGTTAATAGAACAAATACAGAGCTTTACCAGCTCTACAGCTGCTTCTCCCACTATGCCTGGGGAGGGAAACTAATTCGTGGCCCTGCTCATTAGTGAAGACAGCCTCCAGTCTCCCTGACGAGGGAGTCTAACCAGAGCCAAGAGGAAACTGCATAGCCCATCCAATAGCCCTGCTTACGGTGGCACTTCAGCAGAAAGCACAGGTGGTGCCTTTCCCTGCCTGCAAAGCAAAATTGGTGGCCTCATCTGACCAGGGAAATCAGTGTGTGCTCTTGCCTGATTCAGGTTCCCAAACAATGAGCCCAACAGGCCCTGGGTCCTGTCCTGCTGACCTGCCAGGGCAGGGAAGCTAATTCATAGCCTCAACTACAACTGAATATAGTACCCAGTCCCAACTATCTGCTAAGCCTAGCCAGAGAAACTAGGCAGCCCTTCCTACAGCCTCAGCCTCAGTTGATTAGGGAACCAAGCCAGCAGTCCTATCCAACTCTTTTTAGCCAGTGGCACTTCCCACCATCCCCAACCTCAGAGCTCAAACAGTTGCCTTGCCCAAAAATAGACCATAATAGCAGGCCCCACCTGCCCAAGGACGTTACCAGCAGACATGCCCAGAAACTGAAACTGAGCTAACTGGTGAAGATTCATCAGCCAGAGCAAACCTATTAAGTCTGGAAGAGGAACCCAATTACGTAAAGGCACAGATACCAACATAAGGAATCAAGATCACAAAAAAACAGGTAAGTATGACACCACCTGAGGAAACTAATAACAGCTCTCATAAGTGATCTTAAAAATATGGAAATCTATGAAGTGCCAGACAAAGAATTCAGAATAATCCTCTTAAAGAAGTTTAATAAACTATGAGAACACATAGACAGCTAAATGAAGTTAGGAAAACAATGCATGAAGGAAACGAGAAGATGGACAGAGCAATAGAGACCATCAAAAAAAAAAAAAAAACCCCAAACAGAAATCCTGGAGGTGGAAAATATAGTAACTGAACTGAAGAATTAAATAGAGAGTTTCTAAAGTAGACTTGATCATGCAGAAGGAGTCAGTGACCTGGAGAATAGGACATTAGAAATTATCCAGTCAGAGGAGCAAAAAGAAAAAAGAATGAAAAAGAGTGAAGAAAGCCTACGAGACTTATGGGACACAATGAAAAGAAACAATATTTTCATGATGGGAATTCCAGAAGAAGAAAGAGAAAAGGGCAGAAAGTATATATAAAGCAATAATGGCTGAAAGCTTTCCGAACCTGGGGAGAGAAATGGATGTCTAGATCCGCGAGGCACAAAGGCCTCCAAATAGGTTGAAACTGAATAGGGCTGCAAGAGACACACAGTAATTATATTGTCAAAAGTCAAAGACAAAGAAAAAAAATTAAAAGCAGCAAGAGGAAAGGGAGAAGTTTCATACAAGGGAACTCCCGTAAGACTATAGGTGGATTTCTCAACAGAAACATTTTAGGCCAGGAGAGAATGGGATGATATATTCGAAATATTGAAGGAAAAAAATTGTCAACCAAGAACACTGTATCTGGCAATACTATCCTTCAGAAATGAAAGAAGGATGAAGACTTTCTGAAACAAACAAAAGCTGAGGGAGTTCATTACCACTAGACCTGCCTTAAAGAAATGCTAAAGGGAGTTCTTTGAGTGGGAGTGGAAGTATACTAATCAACATCATAAAAACATAAAAAGGTAGTGTAAAACTCACTGATAATGATAAATACATAGTCAGAGTTAGATTCTGTAATTTGGAAATCATGATGCATAGTTCACTTACGACTCTAAAAGTTAAAAAACATAGTGAAAATAACCATAACTACAATAATCTGTTATTACTACACAATGTAAAAAAATATGAAAATTGTAGCAGCAATAACCTAAAATGTGAAGGGAGGAGAGGTAAAAGTGTAAAGTTTTGTAATTCTATTGAAATTAAATTGTTGTCAGCTTAAAAATAGGGGGTTACAATTTTAGGCTATTTTATGTAAACCTCATAACAAGGGAAAAACCTGTAACAGTTACACAAAAGAACATGATAAAGAAATCAAAGCATGCTGATTCCAAAAGACATCAAAACATGAAAAAAGACAGCAGAATAAAAAACAAGGAACAATGGATCTATAAAACAGCCAGAAAACAAAAAAATGGCAGTAGTAAGTCTTTACCTATCAATAATTACTTTAAACCTAAACAGATTAAATTTTCCAGTCAAAAGACATAGAATGGCTGAATGGATGAAAAAACGAGATCCAGTGATATGCTATAAGAGACTCACCTTAGCTTTAAAGATACACATAGACTGAGAGTGAAGGAATGGAAAAATTCATTTCAAGCAAATGGTAGCCAAAAAATAAAAAAACTCCCAGGGGTAGTTATATTTGTATCAGACAATATAGACTTTAATCCAAAAATGGTAAAAAGAGACAG